CGTCGGAACTTCTGAAGGCTTGCCTGCATTTCAGTGAGGGAAGTAGCGGGAAGAAGTCGATGCAGAAACGACGTCTTTGGACCCAGTTCGCCTCATCACCTGCAACTTCTGTTCTTGGGCGTCGCGCATCCGCTCCTCCGCCTGGCTTCATATGTCAGGCATGCTGCATGCCTTGCGAGGGATCAAAGTCAGAGGTCTACTGTGTGCGGCTGCACGCAGGTCAGGTGGAAGCAATAACCAGTCCGCTCCAACATGCTCAGGCCATGTGGGATCATACCTGATCATACGGGGATCATGGCGCGCAGCTGGGAAGCAGCACATCTGTATATCCAGGTCAAGCAGAATCCCTGAGACTGAGGCATGTCCTGAAAGCTGATATGTGAAATTCGAAGGAGCAGGCTCTATACCAGCCATACACCGTGCAAAAACATGTGAAAACCCTTGAGTTGTCAGAGGTGAGGTAGGCACTTGCTGCCCTGCAACATCCCGCAACCACGAAACTCGGCCAGACACCTCCCGCTCCGAGGCTGCCTTCATGGCCTCCTTGGCTTGCTTTGCTTGGCTCCAAACAGCTGTGGACAGAGGATGTCAGAAGGAGAAGCTTCAGAAGTTTCAAGGGTGGAACATGTTTCAGGTGACACACAGGTCTGGGAGCAACGGATTCTCATGAACATGGGGGCTGGCAACCACGCAGACTCCAATCCACGCCCCGAACTAAGATCCGTGCGCGGTGGCTGTCATACACTGACTGACGCCACTCGTTGAAAACTCGAGACCTGCGCTGCGGACTTGTAGGATACGCGGCAGAATGGTGGTAAAAATCGCATCTTCCTATCATTAGGCAGAAGACTGGCGCAAAGCATCCCACAGCTGTCTGCGCCCTCCCCTGGCCTTAGCATTTCGTCGTCCAGCATCAGCTGGCCAAACGCGTGCGTCATGGCCCGCTCCTGTCATCTCGCGCTCGAGTGGCATTCCGAGTCTTTAGCCGTGTCAGACATCGCTCTTTCTTCGCAAGCGCGTTTGATTTCACAATCATTCCCCAGTTTCTTCTAAGAACGTCCGAGCTCCTGCACACTTGCTGACTGAGCATTTGCCAAGAACATGCTGACTTCAATATCATATGAGGATTCATAGGAGCTCATGATCTGGGATGTCGATTTTCACTGCAAACTGTCAACTAGTGTACATGCTCATGGATCTTGCAAAGCTTGCTCAGTTCCACACCCTTGAAGACTTCCCTACCGTTTGGTTTCTGAACATGTCCTGCAAAAGAATCTAGCAAGGCTCTTGTGACACTGCGCAGTTGGTCCAAAGAGGTTCCGTCATCACTTCTCAGGCCTTGAGGCTTCGTCCCGAAATCAGGTAAATCACACACATTAACAGTGAGGCCTTCTGGGCCTTCTCCACCTTCAACTGCAGCAAGCAGCGAATCCATGCCTTGCCCGTCCGGCTGGCTGAGGGTTTGGGCAGGCGATCCACGCTGAATGAGTCTTCAGATCTTCTTTACTATGGAACCGGCCAGGAAGTGGAAGAGCAGCACCGTCTCATACTCAGCGTCTTCGCGCCGCCTGTAGCTTATGTTGGACCGCAGGATCCGGCTCCACTGCGCAACTTAGCAACTTGGTTGCAGAACGAACGAACCATGCAATCTTAAGCTTCCTCAAAGGCCTCTTCGCCTGACATCTCGACTACTTCGGATTAGAGGGTGGCCTGTCATTTGATTTAGATGCAAGTATCGCTTTGGCCTGAGCGCGTCCAGGGTTTTCAAGTGCGTGGTGGCACGCGCTCCAGCCACAGCCTCCCGCAATTTCTCTGCCATCCACAAACAGCATCCCAGATGGCATGATTGGTACCCTACATTCAGGGAGCCATGCTTAAGATGTCAAGAAACTTGCCGGCAACATTATCCAGTAGAAGGCCTATGCCACATGCAGTTGAGGCAACTAAGGCTACTTGTTCAAGCCTCGCCTGCTCCTGAATCCGCTCTTGGCGCCACGCCTGAACAAAGCAACGCCTTTGGAGCTACGGTACAAGACGTTGACCATGTGGACAAGGGTCTGACGCAAGAAGCTGGTACCGCGCGTGTCGTAAGATAACAACAGGGGGCATATGCTGGTGGGGGTGCTGCAGGTTCGAAGGGCTGAGACATTTGTTGGCTGGCTGACTGTTGGGGTGCTCGTGGAGCAGCCACTCTCGAAAATCCATGCGCTCTGAATTGCAGGCTCCAAGTCAGCAACGCTCCAGAAGCTCTTCCCAAGGCTCGAAGCTACTGGATTAAGAGCAAGACTTTGAAGCTCACCCTGACTCCATGCAGCCATTCCCATTACGGATTTCTGAACCACATGCTAAGCCTCTTGAGCACGCCGCCAGCTGGCAAAGCCTGAGAGACAAAGCTGCTACGGTTGCTATGCGAGAGGGAATGTACAGCTGGTGGATGGGCGCATGGCATGATGCCACCAGAATCTCCTCTGCTCCGTCTCCCTGCGCAACAGCCAGCTGCAACGCCTGGCGCTTCTGCCAGTCGCCTCACGGACCATCTCAGAGGATTTCGCTTTGAATGAAGAAGATAAGAGGAAAGACCACGGGAGCTGCTATTATCTTCGTAAACAAGCTGGCCGACGAGCGGGTGTTTACGGTGAAGGTCATGATGATGGCTGAAGCTTGCCAGACACGAAGAAAGGGGTCCACAGTGCAGGAACCTGGCGGCTGCCCGACCCAAACACCGGGAGCCATATTAGTCCAGAGGGGCAGACCTTCAGAAGATTGTTTTGTGCAATTTAGCGGTCATAAGCCTGGTAGAATCAACCCCAGACTCCAAATCCTGCGAAGAATTCCCAACAGGCCAGGCTGCGAGACTTGCGCTGGAGGATGAGGCCACGCCAAGCGGCCAGAAGCTGGCAGTGGAAAGGCCTCAGCCATCCCCCAGAGCAAGGATCCGTTGGGCAAGCAGGATATGTTTGTTTTGCAGCAACTTGTTGATCGGTAGTGCTGGGTCAAGAGTCCTATTCTCCAAGTCCTCCTATTCCTCCTAGTGTCTTCAACCTCACTCAAGGCTCACCGCTAGTCCCCTGGGCAAATTCCAAGCCTAGGCCGCTTCAAATTTGCTGTATGGAAGTGCGGCCTTGTCCTTGATTACAGCTACTCGTCTTGCCTTCGTACAAGTACCATACCAGCTCCAAAGAAATGATTGAGACATCCATTGCTCCGCTGCCACTATCTTGGTGTTGATATCACGGGTGGCGGGCCCAGGCTGCTCTTGACACCGCTCCAGCCTCAGCGAGAAGTGTTTTGGGATTCTTGACAGGGCAATGCAACATTCTCTTGCAGCACATGCTGGTAGATGCCCGAGACCCGCGCGCCATCATCGCCTGCTGAAAGGCCTGGAGTTGGGGGGCAAACGCGCTGTTCCGAGGTCTAAGTATGGTGGTCTGACACATGCTTGTATCTGGAAGGCATGCTTTGGCTTCCTCATATTTTTGTCATCAGGACACCTGGACAGCACAGAAGGCGAGTCTGGGCTACGCCTCGTAGACCAACCATTTCGGAAAGAACAAAACCACACGAGCAGCACCTACCAAAAGAGGCAGCAGGCTTATCATCAAGATGTCCTCGTTGGAGGAACCCCTCTGCGAACTGCATAACCCATCTCAACTACGCAAGCTGGCACAGCCGGAAAGCGCAGCTGTCTCAAATGACGACAAATCCCTGAATGTATCTGGAAGCGCCATAACCGAACTCTCCCAAAGCGCAAAGCGATGTTCCAGGCCTGGTCCACAGCTGAGCTCTTGCTTGCATGTGCCTCATCGAGAATTTGGAATCATTCAGGATTCGCGCTTCTGGCTCTGTTCGATTGGCTCCCAGCAAGAAACTTGGATCCTGTATGATGGCCTGGGACTAGAAGGTATCCTCATGCCGGGCCCTGATTGAGCGTGTATGCACCATGTCGCATCAATGCTTCTCATTTCCATTCTTCAGAATACTTTTTTCTGAGAGATCATACTCAGCCAGGCGGCCTCTGCCAGGTGCTGAGTCGCTCTCACCTCCTGAAAAGAAGTCAGGCTCTCATCTCAACTCGCAGCCTCCATGCTGCCTTCCTTGCACCACAACGAACATACGACGGAGCCTTCTTATCATTCTCTAAGAAAACTACACATGTGTGGAGAGCTCGTACATCGTGGAGCTCCTCCACTGCCAGCCGCCAGTCCCCGAATGACTGCAGCCTCGGCAATGGAACGGCCCCTGCCACACCCCCAACCCGAACCGTGGCATCTGAGTATAGATACCCTACTCATGTTTCAGCCTTTGCTGTGAGGGAGTGTTTCGGTTCGCCATCAAAAGCCAGCACTTGTCGTCCCACAACTGTCGATGCTGTCACTGTCACTGTCACTGTCACTGCCTTAGCTAAGCACATACACTTCAAGTTGGATCCTGTCAGGCCTTTGAGACAGAGAGTGCTATCCCAGACTGTCAATTCGTTGGCAGAAGCCCAACGTCTCTCTAAGTGCTCTTTCAGGGAGAGATGAAAGGACCTAACAGCAAAGTGTTATAGTTGGCCCTTTCCCAGTTATGGGACCCCTAAGCTCAAAAATTAGCACTCTGTGCAAACTATCAAAAGTCAAGCCAATCCTCAACCCACCCTGTCGTCCCAGAACGGCGCACAGTTGTTTACAAAATTAAAACTAGAAACATAACCTGTATGTTGCCCTTTGATGAGCTATAGCCTAAACTCCTTAAAGGGGGTTATATACACGGGTTGTTGCAACTTACCTCCTTTTCTCCGCAAGCTGCAGGGAGTCTGCGGAGGGAGTCTACGTGTCTACGTCGGCACTTCGGCGACATGGACACAGCGTCTACGCGGCTTCTGTTTGCGACCTACTCGAGGATCGGCGTCGTAAATGCCGGAAGTGTTAGACACCATGCTAGCCGTGCAGGTTCCTTGTTCGTCCCAGGATGATCTCTCTACATTGCTTCAGTAAGAGCTCTGTGTACAAGTGCTTCAGCTAGCGAGTGGAGGCGTTACAGCCCGGCCCAGTCGGGCAGCAGCTGGCAGTGCACGGATCACCTCGGAAGTGAGCTCTCCTCTTTGCTCCTTCTCTGAAGCATGAGGACGCGTCAGCTGGAATTGGGTTCAGGCCGAAGATTCATTGATTGTGCTTTGCTTGTGCGGAGTGACTTGCCGATTACCCGATCATTCAGCAGATGCCTCTGCACTGCAACAGAATGAAGCTCTGAGGCCAGTACTGAGACCGAAGGTGCGGCTGTAGTACTTGTCTGACCACAACATGGGCCGTAGGCTTTAGCAAAAGCAACACTGCTGAAGGAATAAATCCAGGCCAACCCTGGCTTCGGCCTTCATACACACAGTAGCCAGCGACGTCCGCCAGATCCTGAGCCAGGAATTTGCTTTGATAAACTTGAGGGAAAGCTGACCTGGAAGGGCAGTCGTCTTAAGTGCCATCCGGCCGAGGCTCATGGTGACAGGAGGGGACGTGCGGCTTGTCGTGTGCATTGAACCTGCCGTCACAACCGCATGATAGCCAGCACTGTCTTGCTCCAAGAAGCAGCTCTAGTGGCAGCCCTGAACTGGACTTCAAGTTGCCAAGAGACGTCATCGCTGTGACATTGGGATCCTTTCGGTAGTCCTTGAGCTGAGCTACTTGACGCTTTTTCATACAAACACACTACTCACTACTTAATCACTACAACCTGAGACGCGTCAGTCCGCCGTAAGATACGGATGCAGCATCTATCTAATGCAATTTAAGACCTTTGGAACATGCAGCAAGATGCAGCAAGGTCGAAGATGTCGAAACATCGATGACGCCGACTCGCGATCAACTTCCAAGAAAGGTCTTGTTAAGTGCAAACAGAAGGGGTCGGTGTAGTGTTTACATGTAGCAGGAAACCTTGTGTGTGTGTGTGTTGAATTGGCTGAGATCAAGCCACTGCCCTCAATGATAGAACGTCGAGCCCAGCCCCCGGTCCCATCATGAATTGTCGAATTGTCGGCCCATGGCCTGAGTGCTAGGTTGTGTATTTATTGATATACCATTGACAATCGATTCGGAATCGTTCAGAAGTAATTCTGTTCAAAAAGCAACATGAAACAGCCAGTACATATAAATCCAGTCAGCCCTTACTAAACAGTGCACGAACTACTCAGAAAGAACAAGGAAACGGAAAATTGCAAAATCAGAGTGCTTAGCGTGCAGAGCTGATTACACGGAATTGGTTGCATCCAATTAGAACCATTACGAACCACTAGACACTAGCAAGTATCAAGTGGATTTTCTGGGGGCAGAGAACTTACACTTTGAGGGTGGCTGTAAAGTTTTGCGAGCGATTCATCTGCAAGGCTTTTGAAAAGTCCAGCCGCGTCCTTGTGCTTGCAGTTTTCGATGCCTGCAGAAACGTTGCTGAGCCTAGGTGGCGACTGTCAAGACTGCTGTGTAAGTTCAGTGATCCTTTTGATCTTATCGTGTCTCTGCCCAGGGCTCCTTCAGGCCTCTGCTGAGCGGTTCGTGGGCCTGTAATGGTCTATATGCCCATGCCTTAGCAAGGATGTTTCTTCTGTATGCCCAGTGGCTCGAAGATACCCAGGTAGCAGTGAATTCGAACCACTGCTCGCATCTGGGCCTTGCCATCCAGGGCTTGGAAATCATGCGTCGCGTGCACGCTGACAGCAGTCGACCCAAGGCCCAACAGCATCTCACACCTATGGATGCCCTGTCCTGGAGGAAGGTTTCCTCCACCTTCGCATGCGTGAGCGTCCCGTTGTAAATCTTCCAATTAGTGTCCTCAGCTGTCCCCTTTCGAGGATAGCCGCGCTGAAAGACAGCTAAAAGGTGACATCATGAAAGTGTTGACTTGGCATGCTGAAAAAGACCCCTGTCCCCAGGCAAGCATCATGAAGTTCTCCCTGAATTCTGGTTCTCAACATGTCAAGTGGCATCGTACGGAACATCCCGTGCTGGAAAAGACAAACAAAAAGAATGAATTACAGGTAGATCGTGTTCACCAGCTTTCGTCACCAGAAACACATGCCAAGTCTCAACGCAGCTGCCCGCAGTGCTGCACTTCTGGGCAGACAGGCAGAAAGGCATCAAGAAAACAACCGCGCTTTGAACTGATACGCAGGATTAGGTTTTCTGCTTGGGGACAGTAAGATCACCCCCGACGGCTGGAGCTTCAAGCTCAAACAACAACCAAACAAACACGAAACAAGGCTGCTGGTAATTATCAGAGCCAAATCCAGGCCATCTTCTCACGAACAAAGACAGGGCCCCAACCTGCTCGGCTGCTTTCTCGTTTGAGCACGAGGCCTCGTCTAACGAGACCTTAGGTTCTTGAGCATGGGCATACCGGCAAGCCTCGTGTGAGGACGGCGGTAGGACACACATTTAGAGTAAGAAAAGGAGGTAGTCAGCTTTACATGGATGGATCGAAATTGCTCTCGAGGCCTGACTTAGCAAAACACTTGCTCTTGCCTAAGCCTATCTCTCTCTCCGAGCAGGCCTGCGATTTTGAGCAGAACTCCCTGGTCTCCTCGAACACCTGGTCAAGAACGCTTCAGCTTCTTTTCTTGGTGGCTGCATATGTCGCACTCTAGCTGACCAACATCATCCCAAGGAAAGGCGTTGCCCGCGCATCTGTGATAATCTCTGCTCATCCCACGCTGAGGCACAAACCTTCTTGGCTTCGGCTGCAATTCGCTCTTTTTCAACAACGTCCTGGACATGATCCCAGCCAGAAGTGATCGTTGGCTTTCTTGAGCTAGTACAACTTAGACTTGGTATTGAAAATCTCTCCATGTTTCTGCAAGTAAGTACGTCCCTTAGCTTAGAATGCCAACTCTCTTCACGAGGTTGCAAGTTTTGTAAGATAAAAATTGCAGGGCCGGGAGGGGGGGTGGGGTAGCCAGCTCCTCCTTGGCTTGCTCGCACAATTCACCTGCAAACTGCATAGAGGAACACCAACTTCAAGGCAGTCACTCAAAGAAGCTAGCGATTCCTGAAATGGATGGGCTGCGATCAGGAACCCAGCGAAAAGCGACCCTGGCAGCCAAGTCGCGCGATGCACGGATCTTCATGTATTCCTTGTCCCACCACGCCAGCTGGTCTTGAAGGAAGTCTATGTACCTCATCAGGGCCGTGTGGAGCACTAGTTTCGGAAGCTCGGCTGCAAACCCATCGCAGCGTTTCAAGGCACAGGGACGACTATGCACCTCATCAGCCTTACGTTAGTTGTGGGCAACATGCTCTCCTTTTTGCAAACTGAATTCAAAGAACCTTAATCAAGTATTCATGCAGGACGTGGCGAAAGCATATGGCCGCGTCACCTTCTGGTGCTGGTTGCAGGGTAGCGGTCTGTATTGAAGAGACAATCCCGAGAGGTGCCGACCTGAGTCCAGCTTCTACGAATCCGTGCCATGCTCTCCTCCTTCCGGGGCTTTTCGCTTGCTTTGCTTCAGCCAGCTTAGTTATCCAAAGAAAAAAGAATGAAAAAGACCTCGAAAGCCACAGAAACATTCAGAACGTTAGGTTTTCGAGCTGGAATTGTATGGCAAATGAGCTCAAGGCCGGGAAGGTTCGCGCAGTCTCATTGCCGGAATAGTAGGCACACTGGACGTCCATCTGTGCCTTGACCAGCTGAATATTCAAAACTTCAGATTGAGCAGGAATCAATCCAACTGGCAAGGAGTGACTAACAACGACTCTCAAAGCACCTGCCTTGGCATCCTTCGCAACCTCCGCCAGATCCTGCCAGGATCAGATTGTACACATGCCCTGTGCTTCTGTACACTTACGTGCACATGTGCTTACGTCCACAGTGAACACTTGTGCGAGCGCTGCTTTGCGGCCTAGTTCATCAGCCCGTACGCTTGCTCTTGTATCGTGCTTCTCAAGCAACGCAGGCCTGCCAGTACTTTTGCACCTTAATCTGGATCTGTCGACAGTTCCTGACGGGATCATGACCAGCCAACCTGCTTGAGGCTCAACAGTCATAGTGCTCCAGAAGAGCAGGGCGAGATGGTTCTTGTAAACAAAAGTCTCAATCAACAGATGATGGGCCACCGAACCTCATCAACTCTAGGAATACTGCGGCATGTATTTCACAAAACCATTACGCCATTGCCGCTGCACTTGACTTTTGCAAGTGGGCCTTCTTTGGAGTCTCACATGCCCAAAGCCCTTGAGAAGCCATCAATGTTATCGACGAAGGCAAGAATCCTCATGTCAACCCTTCAAACCAGTTTGAAAGCCCAACTGTGCAACGATTGGCGAGACCTTCCTGACTACGCTTGAAATGCTGCTGAGTGCTTGCACACTCAGTCCATCACGCTAACGCAACAGAGTTTGTGCCACGCCCTTCTGCTCTGTACTCCGACCATGCGTTCACTAAGCCTGTCCCCTCAACCTCACTCAATGCTTATTCTTCCCAGTGTACCTGTGCTCGTTTCCCAGTGAAGAGAGGTTGTAGGCGGGTATGTTCGCCTTCGAGCATCCCAGGGCATTGTACATAGCAACAAATATCAGGCAGAGAGACAAGATGGAAATGGCGTATGGACGAACTGCTCTGACAGTGACTGCAACTTTCTTACAGTCTTACAGGTGTGGACATTGCCCATGTACCAGATGCAGGGCAGCAGTAGCTTGCGCAACTTCTTCGCACTACCACCTCAAGCTACTCGTGCGCCGTTGTCTCTGGGAAGCTTGCCTTCGAAGCGTTGTTCAAATCCTCAGGGTTCAGGAGAGACTGTCTAATGGGGCAGTAAGTATTGTCTGCCGTGCTTCCGTCCGCAGTTTAGTACGTACACCTACTACCTACTGCCGTGTCCACCTCCCGCCTCCCAGAAATCTCCTGGGTCTGCCCACACGAGCTTGGCAAGTTCTGCGCAGAACTATCCAACACGCCATCAGTCCTTCTCAAAGCACTCGAGAATGTCATCGTACTGAGCCTTCGCGTCTACGTACTTCCAAGGATCGGGTTCGTTTCATCCGGACCGTCCGATCATCAATTCATCGTCGGGGAGGCATGCTCAAGATTCATCTTCAGGGTTGAGAAATATATCAGACCTGGGACTCAGAACGAACTCTGGCCAACACCTCCGCAAGAACGGATACCCACCACTTCCAGTTGTTTTAGAGGTCAAGAAGGAATGGGCAGTGACCTACCTCTGCCTTCTAAGGCCCACACTTCCAGGCTGCTGTTCGTGGCATTGTACTGCTGGTGAATCTCCTGAGGCCACGGTACTCACTGCGGCTCCGCAAGAGGACCTCGTCTTCATTACAGTAGCCAAGAAGTATGACGCAGGAGGCGCCTTTCTCATCTTGTTGTCAAGGATGGATCGGACCTCTTCAATGAATTCTGCCCTCGGTGGTGGTGAAAGCTGCAGCAACATGCAGCAGCGCTAGGCAGCATGGTCATGCAACGCTCCGTGTCGTCGCAGACCACAGAGAAGCATTTGCAAAGTTCCACTTACACTCCTGAGCATCGACATACTCACAAAGGATTGTAAGAACATGCATGACATAGCCTTGATCGGTTCAGCTGACCGCGCAATTTCATAGTCTAGTTCTAGCTGGAAGTGCGACCTGCACTCCACGAGTTGACGAATGGGCTTCTTTCTGGCCATACATCAATAGCAGGACTTGGGTGCGCGAAGTCGATTACAGCTCCAAATCTGAATCGTTAGGGGTCTAGGAACATGTGATCTTCCTCCCTTTTGGATTCCAATCATCCTTCGTTCGAGTTATTTGCAAGGTCTTGTTGCTTGGGGCTTTTGGTTTGGGTCCTTGCTTCAAATCACTGTGGGTTAACAACTGGACTCTCCCACTAGCAAACAACTGTAGAGAAAAGGCTGTCTTGTTCTGCCATGGATCATTCCCGGCGCCGCACCCTGGTTTACGAGCTGAAGCACAGACCTGCGTGCCGGCCAAGCTAGATTGTCTTGAAAGCACAAAGCACACAGCCGCAAGGATCTGAGGAATATATACATATATATATATACATATATATACATATATACCTCATATGCAGGACAACAGAATTACTTTGCTTGTTGATGAAGAAGGCAAATGTAGCAAGGCATGCAGTCACGACTTGAAGCAAACCCGTAGAATTGCTTCATGGAGGCGTGCGTCTGCGGGGCTGGTCAGAGAACCTCTCCTAGAGCTCGCGCATGATTTCAGGAATGACAACTTGTACTCTTGCAAACAATTGAACACTGATCCGGAGAAAGCAAGCCTTTCCAAATGCGCGAGTTCGGGGTCGTCTTCGGTTGGAATGTCTTCCGGCCTCCAAGCAGTCAGCCAAAACTTTGGTTGGCTTGCTGTGCTAGCTGCTCCTGGAAACCCGTTGGTCACAAATGTTAAGGCAAGTCCATGCTATTAGCCACAGCTTATCCCTGCTGCCACCGACAGCGCCTCACCAAGGCGGCAACAGTCGGACCGGATTTGGAAACTGGAGGTCTTGCTGTTGGCCTTTCAGTAGATCCGGCGGCAGGCCTCAACAAGGCTCGTGAGGCCTGACTTTCTTGGTAAGCATTTGCTTTGGGGTGTGTACGTGTTAGATTCTGCCAGGCAAGTTTGGCTGAATGGCATTCATGCTCTTACTCCATCTTACGCCCGTCCGCGAGGGAAGAAACACTTTGCAGGCAACACACCCACAGTGAGGGCACATGTTCCAGCAATGGCCGCTTGTGGGACGGCCTACACTTGCCAGATAGGTTAAATGCCCGTGACGTTTGTGTGAAGGTGCACAAAGCCCCCGGACTTGACATTAACCCGAATCCCAAAAGACGAACTCTTCGCAACACCACGTCCAAAGTTTGAAAGGCGGGCTATGGCTCCCAATTCTGCAAGCCTTCCCGACTTGTCGAGTGCTGCCGGCTTGTCGAGCTTCACGCTCGCCTGATGGACGCAACGTGTCGCAAGAACGTGATTTTAGAAGCAGTTGAACAGCTGCAGGGCAATACAGCTAAGAGACAAGCCCATCATCTCGGAGCGAACCCAAGTATCCCAGCAGGAGCATTAGATGAGCGAGAAAACGCGAACGCAACATAAGCTCCTTCCCAGCATCGCCGGAATGAACCCACAGCATCCAGACCTCACCCACACGATCGAAGTCGTCCTCCTTTTCATGGCTGAAGCTGCCACCCAAAGGCCTGAGGCAATGAAACGTCACACGTTCTGCAATCATTGAAACAGAGCTTGCACTCTTTGCCTGGCAGATGGAAGCACAGCATGCAGTGTTTCCTAGCTGAAGGCATCCCTCTTGCACGCGAAAAATTGAATTAGCGAGCCTTCCGCCCAAACTTCACTGGGAGAATTCTTGGTTGACTGGCAGACTGAAGTAAGCCTTTGCCTGGAATTCGAGACTCTGGACAGACCTTTATCTAAGTCAAAGTTAGGATTCAATATTCAGCTGAAACGTTGCACGCACATCACATCGCTGAGATTCTGGCGGCAAGGCTATTTCGGCGGTTTCCTGCGGAAAGCAAGGAGCATGCGGACATGGAACAGGCCAGCAAGACATTGGCAATGCACGGTAACTTCTGCAGGTGCTGCATCTATTGTAAGGACTTCATACAGAATGCCACCATGGGTGGAGAGCCCTGCTGAGAGCACTACATCGAATTTGCTTGCACGATCTGCAATCAAGACGGCTAACGCGCCATGGCGCCCTCGAAGAAAGATGTCAACAAAAAACTAGTTCAACATCAGACACATGCATCTTCTCCCATTCTCGTTGCCAGACTGAGCTGCTAACCCTTTGGAATTGGGAGTCCAAGGATTCCGTGTCTGACGGGAGCCTCGCCAATGACAGAAGGGGCAAGTTTATGTTTGATGATCCCAATGGCTGCTTCCGAGCCTGTAGGCTCTACGCTTTACACGCCATGTGGTAGATCACATATGCATTCAAGGTCTACTGCTCTTCGTCAGGGCCCCGGCGAGTCAGCTGCAAGCGTTTGCAGCGCCTTCAGCCAAGAAACAGCATTAGATTCAGAGAGCCCTCTAAAATGTCTTAATGAATCTTCAAGTTATACGGAGCTTGCAGAAGTCTTGCTACTGAGATCTCTCTAGCTAGAAGTCGCACGTGCCAAACCTGATCCGCCAAACAGCTTCGGAGTTCAAGTGATGCGCATCATCTACAACACTGTAACCCTGCCCCTGACCCAGTGCGGTGGTTTATCATTCGCATTGAGCTGATTTCAAAGCCTGTGCTGTCTACCCTGCACTGTCCTTCTTGCATGTGAAACATCCTAAGCGCTGTGCCACGTCAACTCCGGATGCAAGATCACTTGCTGGCTGAATCGAAGACCTGACTTGCGTCCCGTAGGATTTGCGATGCCCGTGGCGATGCGGGATCTTTCTGAATTATGCAGGATGCCATGAAGTCAGAGCTGCCTTTCATTTTCTTCGGACTTCCTAGACTTCTGTGATTTGGGGTGATGATAGTTCAGTCGGCCATCCTGGGTTTGTAGGATTTTGGGCGGGGCTTGGCATGGCTCTCATCAAGCGATTGGCTTTGGACGCACAATGTCAATCTTGACAAGCAGCACGATGCAATGGTGGACACATATATGCATAAAAAGAGCAATGCTCCCATCCTGCATGCACATGCTTGAACCACTGCTGAATAGAACCATGAGGGAGTGGGTTCGGGTCCATATTAGCTTGCGGCTTTAAAGCGATTAAAGCGACACGCCAGGACAAAAAACATGTCAAGTTTGTTCGCGAGGATCGAAGGAGAAGAG